AGAAAGCGGACACAAAAGATCAGGTTTTGTGTGATTCCATTTTTGCGAAATGTCCAGGAGAAGGAAACCCATAGAAATAGAAGTTAGATTGGTTTGTCAGGGGCTGACTAGCAGGACAGATGGGTGACGTACTGCTTGGTGTTGTTTTCTTTTGTGTGTGAGGGTGAGGAGCTTAAAAACTTCTTGAAACTAGATAGACTGTTTGAGACAGTGTATTTACTGTATTTACTCATTGAGACATTGTGTATTTACTGTATTCTTGTGATTTTCATATTTTAAAAGGCTCAATTGTATGTTATGTGACTGTTGCTTTAATAAAAAGAAATGCAAGTGAAACACGCGTGGTTCCCTACAGCTCCCTTATACCTTGGAGGTTGCCCCACCTGTGTCCATGGAGTTTTATGGAAGCAGGACTCCCACCAGGTCAGAGGTGCCCTAAGTGCTTTAGTGCTTATGGACCAACCCACTGATGAAATTTCCACCTTCACTCCTGACTTGGGCTGAGTCTGGGATCCAGGCTGAGACCCACCACCCCTGCATCCTTTTGTCTGCGCTCACCTGCCATTCAACCAAGGATGCACTACAGCTTCTGATTCACTTTGTAGGCTTGGGGGGCACACATGTGACTTCCAAACAGCCCTTCCCACCACACGTCTCTCATACACATGCCTTCATCGGGTCAGAATATGACACCAGATTTTCCATCCAGCCTGGCTCAGTGGTTGAGAGATGACCTATGAGCCAAGAGGTCATGCTTCGATTCCTCATCAAGGGCACATGCCTGGGTTGTGGGCTCCATCCCCAATGTGTGGATTGCAGGAGGCGCCTGATAAATGATTCTATCTCATCATTGATGTTTCTATCTCTACCTCTCCCTTCCTCTCTGAAATCAATAAAGAAATATTTAAAAAAGAAAGAAAATGACACAAGATTGGGGCCCTTCATGTCTCAGGCACTGCCAATCCTCATAACAACCTCAGAGGGGAGAGCTCACAATTTTGCCAAACAGGCGAAGAGGTAGAGGAGAAGAGACTGGCTCAAAATAGAAGTTCAATAAACGTGTCCCTAGGTCCTAGATGACAACCTGGGATTGGCCTCCAAAGTGCTCTTCTGCCCAAAGCATAGAGGTGGAATCAACAGCATAAGACAAAGAGGTACAGTCTGGGGGACAAGCGGTGGTGAGGAGGTAGAAAGGACTCTGAAGGTTTGATGGAGAGGGGTGGAGAGCAGGAGCTCTGCTCACAGAGAAAAGGAAGTCAGAGAGAGGAAGTGATAGGGAGAAGCAGCAGCACACACCCAGGCCTGGAGGGCAGTCCTGGTTGCTTCTGAGGGTGAGTTGACAGTGTTGTAACATCCCCCAGGCCTCCTGCTCCTCTTGGATTCAGCAACCTGGATACAGCCCCGTTGGCTCCCAAGGGAGCCAAGGCTGAGAGAGGATGATCCCTCCATACTCTCCTCTGTCCTCCTCACACACTGAACTAATTCTACTGTTCTGGCTCCTGGTTCTCCTTCCTGTGACCCAGTTCTCCCCACAGACAAGCTCAGGTGAAGACTCAGGACAGCTCCTTGGTGTGACTGCATCAGCCTTCTTCTTGCCCCCTCTAGACCCTCACTGTCGGCTCAGGTGTTTTATTCTCATGCCTACAAATGTACCTGTCACTGACCATCCCCTGCACAAAGCCTGTCCATGAGTCCCCTTGACTCCAGCCACAGCCAGGATCTCCACCCGGTAGTTCATGATGCTGACCATCAGGCTGAGCCAGACTCTCCAGCCTCAGTGAGGCCAATGCCTCCTCCAACCAAACTCATCCCAGTGAACCTCTTCCCTCCCCCGCCCCCCACAACCTGGGTTAGGACCACATCATGCCCCCTAACTGGGCCCCCTTTGCGCATCTAAACAGAGCTGCCTCCTCTCCAAACCTCCTAGACTGAAACAACATACATTTATTTCCAAAATGTATTCCCTACATTTCGGAAAGAAAGCAACAGACTTTGCAATAATCAATGTGTAAATCAAAGCAGAAGTGAATGTTTTAGATAAAATGATAATGTAACTATTACACATCAAACCTATGAAATGAAAAATTGAAAACCTTGTGTGCTAGTGTGTGTGTGTGTGTGTGTGTGTGTGTGTTAGCATATGTGTGAGTGTGTGTATGAATGTGCATGTGTGTGTGAGTGTGTGACTGTGTGTGTGTGTTCATGGGCCACTGTACCCATCTGTCTGAGGGAAGCAGAGGTGAGAACTGAGGTGGGAGGGTCACATCTGGATGGTCATGAACAGCCTTGAGTGCAGAAGGAAGAGCCTGGATTCACCCTGAAGACAGTGAGGACCATGGAAGGGTTTAGGCATAAACAGCTTCTGAAAGGGAGTTGCAAGGGCAGATGTGGAGGGTGAACTGGAGAAGGGAGTGAGGCTGTGGAACTCAGAGCTCAGGAAGTTGGTGGATGTGATGGCTGCCTTGGGGTGTGTGAAGGTGACCTGTTTCCTGCCTTGTTTCTGGGGACACCAAGAGGCCCTCACGACAGTGAGCCCCGGGGTGGGGGAGGGAGGAGCCTGGGGCTGTGGAAGATGTATCTGTTCCCACAGGGCAGCTCAGGGCCTCCTGGTCCTGGGACACAGGTCCTATGTCTCACACAGGTTCCACCTGACTTTCTGTCTCTGTGTGCAGTGGGATCTCACCATGTTTTGGGGGCCAACCATCTGAGTCATTTCTGCCCCTTCAGAGCACCTTTGAGGTTGGGTGTCACTCCCTTCTTCAAACTGTGAAGTCTCTTCAAAATTCAGGAAAGAATGGCATTCATGAGAGTCCTATTTCAAGGTAGCAACATACACCGACACATTAAATATCAATGTGGTGCTACCACATCCTGAATGGTTGAAGGAGACTTGAGAAGGGCACTTCCTCCTTAGATGTCTCAGCAATACCAATGCCTTCCCCACAAAGATGGTGAGAATTATTCTCAACTAGATATGGAGGAAATGATACCAGCCATTCAATGCAGATGGAGATGGTGGAGGTTTGAGAAATTGAAAAGCGGCGATGCCTCATCCAAAGAAGAAGGAAGAGTCCCCGTCAAACCCCTTGTGTGGAGGCACCTGGATCGTTCAGTGGGGAGGTCATGGTCTTTCCATCACATGGCAGTGGGCCAGTGGGTGAGTCTCTAGGACACGGTTCCTCATAGACCAGCGAGACAGGAAGAGGATAATTGCGATGGCAAAATGAGACCAGGGACTGGCCCTCAGATCACGTAAGAAATATTATAGATCCGTAATGTGGCAGCAGAGAGCAATAGAAAAGCAAGCAAACACCTTTATCAAGCAACTGGTATTGACATGCAAACGTGCAGTGACATTACATAAAGGTGATGAGCTGGCTTTCACTGGTGTTTCTCAGTGGCTAGAGCATCAACCTGACCACCGAAGGGTCACAGGTTTGCTTTCGGGTCAAGGGCATGTGCTTTGGTTGCAGGTTTGCTCCCAACCCTCACGTGGGATGCAACTAATTAATGTCTGTCTGAAATCGATGTTTCTCTCTCTCTCCTCTCTGTCTCTCTACCTCCTTCTGGCCCTTTTACTCTCTTTGAAAATCAATGGAAGAGAAATATTCTGTGGTGAGGATATAAAAAAAGAATTTTTTTTAAAAAAAGTGCTGAGCTTTATAAATCATTGAAGAAATAAATGTACATCAAACCACAGGGTGGTACCAACACTTACACTGAATAATGAAAATTAAAAAGGCAAGAAACACGAAGGGTTGGCAGGGATGAGAACCTACCAGGACCCCAAACCAGGGAAAGTCGAGGAAATGCTGAGGCCCCTGGGAAACTGCTCTGCCGATTCTTTCACAAATGAGCTCCATCAAGAACCTTGGTCGGAAGACCCATTGGGCTGTTCAGAGCCAGACTCTCAGGGGCCGATCAGGACCATTCCCTGGGTCCCGCCCTCTCTGAGCAGGAGTCAGACCAGCAGACACATGAGTCCCTGAGGATCAGGTGAGACCTGAGAACCTGTCTCCCCTGAGCTATCATCCTGGGCGATGAAGATCCTGGCCCAGGGTGGGACCACACCCTGGCTCTGTGTCCACAGCTGTGAAAACCCAGAAGGCGGAAGCACCTCCTGACTCACCACATCCTGTGCGTGTCTGTCCTTGGGCCCAGGGCCTCCTCCATCTACCGAGCAGGAGCCCTCAGAGCAGACGCCATGACGTCCATCCTCTCTGCTCTTCTCTGCCTCGGTCAGTTCTGGAAACAGGGAGGGAAGGCAGGAGGGGGAGCAGGAGGAGGGACAGGATGGTTACAACTCCTTGTTCATGGGGAACCTCGGGCTCAAGCAGCTCAAGTGGATGGGGCCCTGATGGGAAGGGAACCAGCTGAGACATCCGAGTGCAAATCTCTCAGAGGGTCTCTCTTCCAGGGCTGAGTCTGGACCAGAGGACCCGTGTGCAGGCAGGTGAGTCCTCCCAAGGCTGCGTGTCCCTCCTCTTACTTCACCCCTGAGGCTCAGGAGGAGGGAGCGAGGTCCTGGGGTGAGGTGATAAAATGAGAGGGTCTTGGGCTGAGCTGGGGGATGAGGGCAGGGGAAGGTCTTTGTAAAGAAGCCTCTGGTTTCCTTTTAGGGACCCTCCCCAAACCCACCATCTGGGCTGAGCCAGGCCCTGTGATCCCCTGGTTGAGCCATGTGACCATCTGGTGTCGGGGGACCCTGGAGGCTCAGGAGTACCGGCTGTATGCAGATGGCAGTCCTCGGTACTTGGACAGACAGAAATCGCTGGAGCCTGGAGACAGGGCCAAGTTCCTCATTACAGGAAACTATGCAGAGAGATATACCTGTAACTACCTCAGCCCCACTGGCAGGTCAGAACACAGTGACCCCCTGGAGCTGGTGGTGACAGGTGAGAG